CAGTTGCTCTACCACTACACCACTACTGCACTTGATTGACGAATTGATTAGGTTCTTTACCCTTCAGCCAATATTGTTGTTATTTGTAACTTTAATGCTCATCGCATATAATGACTTGACTCTAGTACCACAGGTCTTGTTAGCACTCAAATTTTTTGTTTTTTCAATCTCTTACTCAGAATCATTTTCCAGAAAATTTCAACCTTTGATTTGTGTTTCACCTTGTGCTCAGTTTCACTTTTTTTCATGTTTAGATAATACATTACATTTTTTTCACGTTTAGATAAGGCTATGATCTCACAAAAGCTTTATTCTATATGTTTACTTCTATATATTTACCATTGCACTTCTTACTACTACATTAAACTCTCTCCTTTTATATAAAAGCTCTCCTTTCTATGCTAAAAACTGTGCTTCTTTAAAAATCTCCCAGTCTCAGAATGGCATGGCAGCATTTTTTTGTTTTCATTAGTTTTAAGTCAAGCCCCGCTCTCCCCAATGGCTTTCCCTTACTTGTGCAGCTGTTATTTCTAATCATTTTAGTGTGCATTGTTGAGGCTGCATTTGGAGCCCTTTGTTACAGCTTAGGGTAATAGTAGTGATGCAAATGCTTGGACTATTAAATAGTGGACAGATAGTACTCAGTACTATCTGTCCTTTGAGTCCTTGAGAACTTGTGCAAGTTCTTTAATAAATCGAAAAATGACTTAAGTACCAAAAACTATAAAACACTCAAAACCATTGCCATTATCAAGTTCTCGAAATTTATCATTCACTAATATTTGTGGTCTTCAAAGTATTGAGTCTTATCTCTTGTAAAGTTCACCAGACTTATTTGTTTTTTATGAGATTAATTTGAGTTCAGCTGTCTCGTCTTGTGATCTTAGTTTTGATGGTTATCTTCGCTTAATTCTTAAAAACTCTAACTCACATGCTTGAACTGGGCATTTACATTTGTAAGAATTCATCCATTTGTAAGGAAACTAGGTTTGAATCCACAGAACACTATTTTATGTGTTTTCGTTTACCACCAATTAAACTCAACTTGTGCTATATCATCTTATTTCTAATCTTGCTCAGTTTCTCCACAAATACCCTTAGATGCTTCTGATCACAATTTGATCTCTCTTAAACTATTACCTCATTCTTCTTCATCATTAGAATCACTCTATCATCATACCTTTTACAACTACCTTAAAGCTGACTGGAACTCTTTGTGATTTCACAAAGAGTTCCAAACATCAAAGCCCTATCAGGTCTCAAAATCTTGTACTTCATCTAAAAAATTTCAAAGACTTCAGGAGAATCTTTAACAACGTCTATAATAAGGGCAAATTTGTTATTCCTTCTCTCTTGCATGGTTCATATTTTGTTAACTCACCTAAAGACAAAGGTGAGTTATTTGGTAAGAACTTTTCATCAATCTCATTTCTTGATTCCACTAATCACATCTTACCTGATATAGCTGACAAAGATGTTGGTCCATTGCTTGACATTCATATCATTTCAGTTTTTATATCTAAAGTAATTACCTGCTTAGAACCTTCTAAAACTTGTGGTCCAGATAACATTGGTGTTATAGTCTTGCAGAAGTGTTCTCTGGAGCTATCATTTATATTTTCAAAACTATTTAACAAGTGCTTATCAGAGTCTTGTTTTCCAGCCTGCTGGATCTGTTATCCCTATTTTCAAAAACTCTGGAGAGTGATCTGACTCATCTAACTACCATAGGCAAGTTTTTTGAGTCTTTAATTAATAAACACTTAATCTCTCATCTTAAATCTAATAACATTCTGATCATTGATATGAATTTTGAACTTCTCTTTCTATTGCAGATTTGTTAATGGTAATAACCAACAGGTTTTATCAGGCATTAAATAGATGTGGAGAGATTAGAGCTATCGCTCTCAAAATTTCTAAAGCCTTTGATTAAGTTTGGCATGCTGGTCTTCTCCATAAGTTCTCTTCTTACCATGTATTAGGTAACACCTTATTATTGAATTCTTTCTTTTTGTAGTAATTGTAGTATAAAATTGTAGTATAAAATTGTAGATTAAAACTAATATATTAGGTAACACCTTATTATTGAATTCTTTCTTTTTGTAGTAATTGTAGTATAAAATTGTAGTAATAAAATTGTAATTGTAAATTTACCAATTGTAGTATAAAAGCTATCCTCAATGGACGCTTCTTCATTTTCTGCAACTTCAGGCATTCCTCAAGGTTTTATTCCTGGCCTTTTTTAAATTTTCATTAACTATCTCATAAAATTCTCACATCTAAGGTAGCATTATTTGCTCATGATACTACCTTGTGTTCTAGTCTTGATAAAAAGCCAACACTCTCTGATTGCTTGGAAATTATGGACGACCCCTAATCTCAAATGCTTGGGCATTTGAGATTAGGGGTCGTCCATAAATTTCGTCATGGGGGGAGAGGGGGAACAATGACTCATTCAAAACTCGCTTCTTAAGTGTTATGATTTTGTGACGAGGGGGTGGTTCGAAAATAGTCAAAAATTGTGTGACGTAATTTATGGACAACCCCTTAAAAAAAAGCAACTGGTGAGTTTAAACTCAGAGAAAACTCAATTTTTTTTCAGTTAATTGTTATCGCAATAATCTAGATTTTCCTATATTTATGAACGTTAAGGTACTCAATGAGTCATCTACCCTTTGTGTTCTAGAATTAACTCTAACTTCTGGTCCTTCATGGAAACCATATATCAAATCAATTGCAAAATTAGCATCTGCTAAGGTTGCAACTCTTTATTGTGCTTGTCAATTTCTTAATCCAGATTCTATTCTTTATCTCTATAAACCTCTAATCCACCCTTGTATGGAATAATTTTTCCATATCTGGAGCGGATCTTTAAATAATACTCTTTCTATTATAGACTAGGTACAAAAAACACATTGTAAACATAGTTAGACTTGTTCTTGCAGCCAACCTTTAACCATTGTCACATCATCAAGTTGCTTCTCTTTCTCTTGTCTATAAATACTATAATGGACACTGCTCTAAAGAGCTAGCATCTTTTGTGCCATCTACTAAAATTCATTCTCATGTTACTTGTCGTTCAATTAAGACTCACACTTTTGCAGTAACAATTTAAAGTGCTCCAAAAATTCTTATTTTTCTAGTTTTTTTTGCTCAAACATCAGTTCTTCGGAATTAGCTCCCTTCATCTAGATTTTCAGATTCATACAATTTGCAATCTTTAAAGTTGTCTGTTAATCATTATCTTGCTCTACAATCTTCATCTTTTCTCTTTCAGTAACTTCCAACTCTAATAGTGGTTGCTTGCAGCCTTGCTGGAAGTAAAGATGTTTAAAAAAAAAAAAACTTTCTAAAAAACTTTACTAATATTTTAATACTATTTAAAAAAAAAGTATACTGCTGAAACTTATATTTTCCAAGGAATTAAAGTTTATTATCTAGTAAGTAAAATTTACATTCTTCTGTGCATGATTCTGCTTGAAATTTAATTTATTCTTTGATAACATTAATAATGAATACCATTATTTATTTACAAAATATTTATATACGTTGAAATCAAATGAGAGTAAATTGGAGAAAATAATAGACAAAATATAGAAAAGTTTCTGTGGGTTTTTTAGAAATACCATTTTTCTTCAGAAAATCTTTAACAGTGCAATTAAAAAATATATATCAAAATATAAATTGACATATTAAATTGTTTGCTTTGGCAAATTCAAAATTGTTAATATAATTCTTAATGACTATTGCAAAGTATGCACCTGTTTGTATCTCTTGATTATAAACACTATTTTCTAACTTCTGATTTTAATCTCTATAAATATCTTATTTGTCCTTGTAAGGAATACTGTTATCATATTTAGGCTGGTTATTCTGAAGCCCTCTCTTTTTTCTAAAAATGTAATATAAGTATTGTTGGACCTCCAGCTCCAACTACTAAGCTTGAGCCTCTGCTCCGTCATCTTTGTATCTTGTTGCTGCTTATATGAGCTATTTTCACTTGTTCCATCAATAAATACTTTATTGTCTTGTTTTCCTTACTCATACAATTTACAGTTTAAAGTCTTTTGTTTTTGTTTCCATCTTATAACTTCAATAATTACAGAACTGCAAAATTTCCAGCATTTTTTTTTTTAAACACAACAGGCAACACAGTATTTCCTTTTTTAAACTTGATTGAAAACTGTGTGGTATTGAAGAAAACTTTTACAACTAAATGTCCCTCTAAGCACTAACAATTTTATTATTTAGATTTATTATGAAAGACTTCTCTAGAAAGATTACCATTCAAGGTTACCACACTAAAGTGGGGTTCAAAATTTATCTCCTTAGTAAGTTGCCTTTACCATATCTATAAAGCCTTACCTGCTTTGATTTTATACTACATGTTATTTTTTTTATAAGCATAACGTTTATAAGCATATGGAGGCTCAGATTTGGAAAAAAAATAAGCATACGTAAGCATATTCCTGAGCCTCGATAAACCATTTAAAAAAATCAAATTTTATTTATTTTATTATTTTAAATTTTATTTATTTTATTATTTAATTGATAACATTTGTATATAGTATATATTTTTTATTATACTGTACTAAAGTCGACTTTTTATTTTTCTTATAACCATTAACCTTTAGTAACGCACATATTTTTAGAAAGTATTGAAATAAGCATATTTTATTATAAATATGCTTATTTTAAGCATATTTTTGAGCCTCTTTTAACTTTTTGCTTAAGCATACCCGAGCCTGTTTCAAAAATTTCATATGCTTATAAAAAAAAACAAACATGTATTACATTTTTATATATTATTTATTTTCAAACAATGTTTCAACATTTTTTCAATAATTTCTTAAAATACATCCTAAAAAAATAAATTATTTGATGTATACATCCTACCAAATATTCAAGTTTATCAAAAAATTAATTAAAAAATAAGGAAGATTAAAAAAATATAAGCAAGATGACATAAAGTTAATTTGTTAATTATTAATTTCACTTACCAAGCATATTTTCCTCTACCTTTGTTTCTTTAATTTTTGGATCAATTTCTTAAATAAATTAAAATTGATTAATTGATTGCAATTTTATAACCTTTTAATAAAATTAAAAATACTAAGTTAAAAACAAACCAGAAACCATCATTTTTGGTAAAACGGAAGCATCATCTTTATGACTTTGGATTGCTTCTAACTTTAAACCTTAAGATGCAAAAAATCAAAAACTTATGATTATAGAAACTAATTGTTCAATTTAAAATTTAAAACAATCAACAATATTTTACCTTGCTCAAGTAACTCTATTCTTGCAGCATCAGTAAAATTTTTAGTCATTGATGCTAAGAGTTCCATTTCTTTTTGATCTTTTATTGATGTATAATCAACCTATTTAAAATAGTTAACTTGTAACTTTCTCTTCTAAGAAAAACAAACTAATTTATTTGTAAAGTGATAAAAAACAAACATTCATACATCTGGTTTCATAATCAAAGTCAGTTTGTGTGTATTGTTGAGAAAACATTCTTTGACTTTTTCCTGAAGAAAAGCTGGATTTTTCTCTAATATGTTCTAAAACATACAAACCAAACAAAATTTATTAATGACAAATAATTGACTCCTTAATAAAAATTTCAACACAAAATAGATATAACTCCTTTATATTCATAATATAAACCAAACAAAATTTATTAATGACAAAAGATTAACTCCTTAATAAAAATTTCAACACAAAGTAGATCCTTAATATATTCTAAAACATAATACAAACCAAACAAATTAATGACAAAAGATTGTCTTCCATACTCCTTATTGATTACTCTTTTTTTTTTGACATTAAATAGAAACACCGGTAACTCATTGTAACTTAAAATTCTTTACTAACATGTGGTGACTTAAAGTTCATGCTAACTTGTGGTAACTTAACATAATTCAAATAACAATATTCAACAAAATCAAAAAAAATTATACCTTGAACTTCTGAACATAGGTATTAACAAAGAGAGGAGAAATAGGATTTTTATCCTGGTTCCAACTTGGTATTACAGCCTAAATTTATACAGAAAGATTAAAAACTCATATTATGAAATTCTTAAACAATATTAATGGTAACTTAATAGTTTTCTACTTTTGTGTTCATTAAAACTTCATATAATAATTTTTTTATCATTATAGTTTGATCGAATTTTTTTAAATTGAAATTCAAGAATACCATTATTAAAGCTAATCCAAAGTTGCTAGTCTGATGTTTTTGAGAAAGTTCAACATTATGAAGAATAGATTCAATTCTTTCTGGTTCAAATCCTTCCCTAAGAATATAATATACAAAGTTTAAAAAAAAATGTTTTGAAATATTATGGCTAGCACTTTAATAAAGATTATATACTTATAATTAAACAACTAAAATTAATTTACAATACAATTTTCATCCACAGTAGTAACCACACTACAAATTATTTTGGGTTCTAAACTTTAAACAAAAACTGGTGCACACAATTTTTTTTTGTTTTTGTTTTGTTGCAGTAATAGATGTTTTTCACAAGTAGGTACTGCCTACCCAAACCCTTAGTCATTATATGTACTCACAGTTGACTATTTTACTTCAATCTGCATATATATATATATATATATATATATATATATATATATATATATATATATATATATATATATATATATATATATATATATATATATATATATATATATATATATATATATATATATATATATATATATATATATATATATATATATTATATATATATATATATATATATATATATATATATATATATATATATATATATATATATATATATATATATGTATATATATGTATATATATAAGCATTGAAAGAAACTTATACGTATATATTATATATATATATATATATATATATATATATATATATATATATATATATATATCTACATATACTTTATATATATATGTTATATATATATATATATATACATATATATATGTTATATATACATATATATGTTATGTATATACATATATTATATATATATATATATGTTATATATATATATATATATATATGTTATATTATATATATATATATATATATATATATATATATATATATATATATATCTGTAGTATATATATTATATATATATATATATATATATATATATATATATATATATATATATATATATATATATATATATACAATGCCAACCTTACTGCCAAAAAAAATGCTGACCTTGTTTCTATGTTTTATGGTAAGACCTTTGTATCAAATATTTTTTGCCGACCTCTAAAAGATTGTGGTTGGCAAATTATTGCTGACTTCATTTTTCTTAATTCTGAGGGTTGTATATATATATATATATATATATATATATATATATATATATATATATATATATATATAACATATATATATATATATATATATATATATATATATATATATATATAACATATATATATATATATATATATATATATATATATATATATATATATATATATATATATATATATATATATAACATATATATATATATATATATATATATATATATATATATATATATATATATATATATATATATATATATATATATATATATATATATATATATATATTATATATATATAACATACACATATATATATATATATAACATATACATGTTATATGTTGTATGTTGTATGTTGTTGCTACCGGAACAAAAGAAAGAACTATACAAAAGAAAATGTTATAATTTTTGGAATTAATGAATCAAAAGATTTAGACACATCAAATGCTAAAGAGGAAGACAAATGTTGATGTATTTAAATCAATAAACACAACGATTGAAGCTAAACAAGTTATAATTAATGACAAAATAGCAATCACTTATAATTAACCGGAAATCAAAAATAATTAATAACGAGTCATTAACTTTTATGGAATATAAAAATGCGCACAATAACATTAGAACTTTTTTTTTTGTTGTTAATTCACCTCCTCAAGGCCGAGAAGGCCACTACAAAAATTAATTAAGACAAAAAAGTAAAATTTAGTTTATTAAAGGTCTAATAATCTTTTTTAAAGTTTTCTTTAATCTTTTAGAGTTGATAATATGGTGTACAAACGCAACATCTCATTAATAATAAAATTAATGAGTTAAGATTTCTGGCACATATTTATGAACAAGATGTATTCTGTGCGGCAGAAATATAGTTTACTGTTAGTCAGATGTTAACATGACCAATTATAACATTTTTAGAAAAGATAGGCTGAAACATGGAGGTGGAGTTTGTATTTACGCAAAGAGCAACATAAATTCAATAGAAATTAATTTTGTATGATATTGAACAGATATGAACTTGTTTATGTTTTGGTAATCAAAAAGTTCTAATTGGATGTATATATTGACCACCATTAGCAACTCGGGATTATAACAATACCATTCTTGAATTAACAATTTCTTCTAAATTGAGTATTGATTGTAAAATGTTTAGTAATTTAAGTATTACCGGTAATTTTAACTATAACACAATTGATTGGTCCAAAATTAATTATATATTCTCTCCTACTGAGAATGATTCTTAAGCTAACAAATTTATAGAGTGTCTTGAAAATTGCTTTTTATGTCAATGCGTTAGTAATCCAACTTACCAAAAAGTAAACTTAGAATCAAAAAATATTTTGGATTTTGTAATTACTAATGATAAAGTAAAAGTTTGTTCTATTGATCACTCATCTCCTTTAGGTGATGCAAAACAAGGTCATCATTTATTAAAATGCAAATATATACCAAAATAATCTGAGTAATAAACTAAAGTAAGAAGCCTATAAAATTGTATCATAAAGGTAATTTCAAGTTATTTTCTAAGTATATTGACATCGATTGGGTTAAGGAATTTAACAACAAATTAATAAATGAACAAAGTATGAATTGTTTCTGTTTCATTACAATTATGTGTCACAAAATTGTATTACAGTAATTAAAAACTCTAAAACTAATAATAAAAAAAAAATTGGATGACTTCTGCTCTAAAATCTAAAATTAAGTAAAAAATAAAATAAACCAGACCAGTATCTCTGACTAACTAAATTGATACCATGTAAAATATTCGAAAGAATAATTGCTGATAATATAATCAAGCATTTAATAACAAACAAGCTATTAGCAAAGGAAGAGCATGGCTTTCTGAAAGGTAAGAACTGCACAAGGAATATACTAGAATTTCTTAAAACCTTAACAAGCGCATTATTAAACAGTATTCCAATTGACATTTTGTATACCGAATTTTGAAAAGCATTTGACAGAGTATCACACATAAAATTGTGTGCTAAGGTTTATGCTTTCGGTATTGTTGGTATGCCTCTTAAATGGATTGAATCATTCTTATCGAATTGAAAACAACAAGTAGTGATGGGAAAATGCAAGGCAAATTGGGTTGATGTGTCAAGTGGAGTACCACAGGGTTCTGTACTTGGCCCACTCCTTTTCTTGATATTCATAAACGATTTACCAAGCACTTCTTAATATATGTTGTTTGTATGCCAATGACAATAAAATAATCGCTCCTATTTATATCGAGGTTGATTCAAAATCATTTCAAAATGACATTAAAAAACTTGATGAATGGTCTGTTGAATGGAAACTGGGTTCGAACTTTGAGAAATGTTAAATACTACATTTTGGTGCAAGTAATAAAAGATATTCTTGGAAAATGATGGTGAAATAAAAGAAACTGAAAAATGCACTCTCGAAAAAGATATGGGTATTTACATATCCAAGGATTTGAAATGGGAAAAACAAGTAAGGAATCCTGCCAGTAAAGCAAACAATATGCAAACAATACTTTTAGGTATAAAAATAAAGACCTCATGAAAATGCTTATTGTTTGGAGTTTGCCATTCAAGCTTGGAATCCCTATTATAAAAAAGATATCAAAGAACTTAAAAAAGGTTAAAGAAGAGCAACTAAATTGATACCAGAATTAGGACTGGAAAACTAAACTGGGATATAATCAAAAACTAAAAATATTAGAATTAGCAACTTTAGAAGTTCAAAGAATAAGAAGTGACCTTATACGTCAATATAAATTATATAAGGTACTGAATCTACTGATATGAAGAAAATCCAGATACAAATGCATTCAATCAATACACCAGGTCCAGCATCCAATATTAGAGGTTATAAACATTGTGTTAAATCAGAGTTTGTTAAATATTATTTAAGTAGACAACGCTTCTTTTTAAAAGAAAAAAACACTTTAGCTTCAGCTTCAATAAAGTTTATACACATATATATACAGATATTTCTTTCAACATTTTTTAACGTTAAACTTTTAATGGTCAATTTAAATTATAAAACAATTAAATAGTTGCAGAAGTACATTACATTGAAACCTTTTTTAAAAACCGAAAAAATTTTGGCTTGAAAGATATTTTTATTTACCCTTTTACGCTGCAACTGGTGTAATAATAAATCAATAAGAAAACAATTTTAAAAGTCACAATTCAAAACCTCTTGCTTTTATGTTTTGAAAAGATAAATTTATGTTTGGCTTCTAAACTAGCTGTAATAAACATAAGCAGCCGTGGCGCGGTGGTAACATTTACTTTTGTAGCCAGTGATTAAAGCATTTACTTTAGATCACAGGTTCGAAATAAACTCTAGGCATATTTCACACCATTGGTAAAGGAAGGAAGCGTGAACTTCCTATTTCAATGTTTTTTTGCGGTGCTCTGTGACAAGACCATTAAGTCTTCTTGGGTTTTTTTTTTTTAAAGAAAAAAACACTTTAGCTTTAGGAAAAGTCAATAAAGTTCATACACTTATAAGAGGAAGGGAGTCACCCTCAGCAATAAAGGTGTTTTTTGTATGTGATTACCATCAGAACAGTTCTGGGATATACAAATCTTGCCCTGTCTAAATTATAGATAATTTCTGATATAATCAGGGATTTTAGTTGTTTAAGCACTCAATTTATATCTATTTACCATCCCATAAGCACTTTTGATAAATTTGATAAGCATTTTTAGAATTTTACAAATTTTCAAAGTTAGAATTTCCATTTTTTCTTCAAAAGTCTGCAATTATTGATGTATATTTATTTTTCTGTCAGAAAAATAAATATACATTATATATCTTATAGAGTGGATTTATGGAGTAAATATGTCATTTATTTTAATTGGTATGTTGCTTTTTTTAATTTTTAAAATTTAGTTCAAAAAGAGTTTATGTTTTTGTTTTTTTATTGTTTTACCCTATTTTTGTATATATTATTATTTTTGTTTTATTGACAAGAGTGTATATACATCAATTGATTTAAAGGTAAAGCATGCTAAGTGTGTACACTTATTGACTGAAGACTTTGATTGGGCATGCAATCTATTAATTTAAAGAAAAATTGAAAAAAAAAAAAAAAAGTATATTTATTATCATTTTAGAAAAATATATGCTGCCTTAATGTGTTTTATATGATAAAAAAAACACTGGATTTAAAATTTTTTTTAAATAAAATGTATTTTTAAATGTAAATATATATATATATATATATATATATATATATATATATATATATATATATATATATATTTATATATTTATATATATATATATATATATATATATATATATATATATATATATATATATATATATATATATATATATATATATATATATATTATATATATATATTATATATATATATATATATATATATATATATATATATATATATATATATATATATATATATATATATATATATATATATATATATATATATATATATATATATATATATATATATAATGTAAACCTTTACCTGACTATCTTTAAAAAAGTTTCTTCAATAATAGCAACAACTTTTTCAACATCATTTTCATGAATTCCTTGGAGGCCAACCGCAAACGTTGAGTTTTTGGTTTGACTGTCAAGACTGAAGAAAAATGAATGCAACTATTGTAAATCTAAATTCTTTATAAACATTATTAAAGAATAATACTTAAAAATCCTAATTACCCAGTTACAGGTGAATAATCGCTACCATAATTTGGTTCACGGAGGGACTGGTAAAAAGGGGAGTTTGGGCCACTGACCATTAAGGTTGATAGTATATTTAAAACAAACTGTTCAAAAGGATCTTCAGAGCTAAAGAAATGATTTAAAAAATGATTAAACTTTGATAAAATTTAAACTTAAAATTAAAAGTTATTTTGTCATACATTATATAAAAAATGGAATAAACAAGCAATTTTACTAATCAAGCATGTAACCAACAGAAACAGTTGTTTGTTTTTCTGGATCAGCTGCTAAATTATCTGGAGGACAACTAATTGTTACAATCCTCTAATGAAGAATAAAAGTAACAAATACAAAAAAAAAATTATTATTTAAAGTAAATAATTTAAACAAAAACAATTTAATAAAACAACAAATGATACCGGTTCCGACCACTTGGGTTCTAATGGAATTTCTGTTTGAGGATTAGAACGTAAAAAATTCTTTAACACATGATCATTTATATGTGACAAATGTTTTTCAAGAGAAAATGTACCATATGTGTAAAATCTAAAAATCCCCCCAAAATATATTCAAAATATAAAAAGTTAATTTGAAACAGATAAATATTTTCATTAACTTAATAACTCATTAATCAATTGACAAGTTGAAAAAATACCTAGAACTACTGGATAAAAATGAATAGGTTGAAAAAATACCTAGTACTACTAGATAAAAATAAATGAGTTGAAAAAATACCTAGTATTACTGGATAAAAATAAATGAGTTGAAAAAATACCTAGTACTACTGGATAAAAATGAATAGGTTGAAAAAATACCTAGCATTACTGGGATGATAATGCGACACATGAAACTCTTTTAACTGGTCATACTAAAAATAAATTTTTCACTACATTAAGATGATAAGAAATATCATGAAAACAAAAAAGATGTTGGTTAAAGTTATATAAAAAATCAAATAATTAGTATTAATAAAGAATTGTCAACTCCTACTTAAAAATTGTTTTAGGAGCTGAGGATTATGGGATGTCCAGGTAAAAAATTTTGTAAACGCTTTGTTGATTCAAGATTTTTAATACACCAATGATTAACCAATTTTGAATACAACACTAATTTAACCTTCATTGCACTTTTTTTTATAGAAAAAGATAAAAAAACTTTCTTACCAACTTTTTGGTGACAAAAAAACTTATTTTTCAAAATATTTCAAATTGAGTTCTGAGAAGAGTATAAACTTTATGTTTAATTTTTTTGTTACAAACAACCAAACTTTTTACATACATAAGTATTATTCTAATTAAAATAAAATTTTTTTATCTCATGGGTTTACTTTAACTTACTGCTAGTTTAGGTTATTTTTTTTTTAATTAATAATGAGGAGGCTACTCTATTGTGATTACAACTCCAAAACACGAACCTTGATGAACTCTTAACTCTTTAACTCCGAAACATGAACCTTGACCAACAAGGCCGCTGCACAGAGAAACAAATTGAATTAACTGACTTGTTTTGTTTACAAGCAACCACACTTGATATCTTTTATATACATAAGTATTTTCCCAGTTGACATATATATTTTTTTTTCCTAGTTAACGGTTTTGGGTTAACCTTTCACTGAATGTTTAGGTCGGACCAAAATATTACTGATGACACTATAATAATACATGACATGGATATTGACATTTACTTTATTACTACGATACTACCAGGGACATGGTGGGGATCGAACTCAGAACTACTTGCTTATGAACTGAGAGCTTCACCACTACACCACTACCACATCTCATATATGTTATCAAAAAATCATCTCTATGTTATCAAAAATTTTTTGAAAAATTATGCTTTTGAAAATGATGAATAAGATTTTCTGTTCATAAACTTTAAAATTCATCAAGATCCTTAAGGAATCTTTAAGTTAAAGAAAAAAAGACATAAAGTAGGGGACTGAGCAAGAGTGCTGCCATTTCTTAGGAATATCAACAGTATTGCAATAATTATTAGCATTGGACATCTTTTTGTTTTGGGTTAAAGTTCATCACTGAAAAAGTTGTCAAAGAGAACACATTTAAGATCAGCTGTTCTAAGAAATTAAAAAACAAAATATTTTGTCAAGACTGAAGAAAATACCCATGTCAACAGCAAAGAGAACTACTTTAGAAGTAAGATGATTGGGAAGATCATTAATACAAGTAAAAAAAAATATACAGGAAAGCTGTGGTACCCTAAAGTTTACTGGAGTCTTGCATTTAACCCTCTATACCCTACTCAGAAAATCCCCAGCCATGATTAGAATGTAAAATAAGAAAACTACATACTGATTTATACCTTACAAAGAATAAAAAATACTATCTCTATGTCTAATTCACTTTTTTATTATTATTTAGTTAAACTTAAAAAAACAAAAAACTCTGAAGATACTGAATACTGAAAATTAGTCAATTTAATTAAAAAAAATTAAAGTATAAAAAATGTAAAGACAAAATATAGCAAAAAAAAAACATCAGCAAGTTAATGTTTACTAAAATACAAAATGTTTACAACTTAATTATATCCCATAATGCCATTCACATATAACTAAATTGCAAACAATCCATATATTTGTTAACAAGCAATGGTAAAAACTATTTTAAATTGCATTAAGAAAAAAAATTACTGTAAGTTTTGGTATATCAAGTGGATCACCTCCACTGTTAAAGCTGTATGTGTGGTTTGGAAGCAATAGATTCTGATATGCATTCTGATAAATACTTTCTCCTGTAGACTAATTGAATAAGAAAAAAACTTTATGCAATATTAAAAAAAAGAAACAACTTTAAATTATATTATACATAATACATTATACATATGATAAATATATAAATTCCATTCAATGATTGAAAATCGTGTTGCATAATCTTGATAAAGATATAATATGTTATAAAGAATTCTTTTTTTATCTTTAAATCATGAACCATGCATAAGACTGTTACCATTTTTGTACACTTTTACAATTTTTGCACATGGCTGATCACCTTTTTGTACATATGATTCACTGGTGGCTAAAAAGACTGCCAGGTTTATGTTGTATCACTCAAATGAAACTTTTTTTATTCAAGAAAATTTGTCTTGTAACAATAGAAAGGAGTTTTTTTAAATCCGAACAAAATGCTTTAAGTCATAATTGAGGCAAAAGGGTAAAATTGTTCAAATGGACTAAGATTGCCCGTCTTAGCCCATTTGAGCAATTTAGATCATTTTTTAGATGCAATTTACAAAAGGGCATTTTAGATTCCCATTAAAAAAAAAGAATATAAATTAAATTTCAAATAATTGAAAACAACAAAAACATTCATAAATATTTCTAATAATATGAATACGGTACCGTTAACTAAACTTGAATAATTTTTTATCCTGCTCTAGAGAGAGCAATATGTAAAAGTGAATGTTAATTAAAATCTTTTTCCATTAAAGCAAAAAATTTTGTAACATGCATCTAAAATGCTTAAATGGGCTAAGGCCCCCTAAATTTTACCCTTTTGCCCCAATTATGATTCTTAGTGCTTTGTTTGAATTAAAAACAAAAATCATTTCCATAGTTACAAGACAAATAATCTTGAATAAAAAAATGTTTCATTTGAGTAACATGACATTAAACAGTCTCTTGGGCCACTAGTAGACTGTTATACTTGGGCCACTAGTAGACTGTTAAACTTTTTTTATGTATGAATGAAATCATTTAGAAATTTTTCTATTTACTGTTTTGTTACAAATTAGAAAAAAAAAATTTACTTATCAATTTAAAAAAACTCACCAATGCTCCTTTCATTTCATTAAAAACAATTCCTTTAAATATTATAGGTGAATTAATATCTTGAAGATTGCTATGTTCTAATCTCCAACCTTCTTGTCTAAAATTATTATTATTTTTTAATTTTTGATAACTTTTACTATGCCTAATTTGATGTATAGTAACAATTTTAACAAAATTTTAACAATGAACAAAAAATTTCTGTGTATAAAAAAAAAAAAAAACTTTTACGCTTAAAAATAATTTTCTTTAGTTTAAACATTAAAAAATGTTTAATTTATAATATATTAATTATTCTTACTAAACTGTACAATTGTATTTAAAACTTTATCATTAAAATTAAAACTAGAAAAAAAAAAAAAAAAAGTTAAACAAATTTACCATTTTTAATAATTTATTAAATATTCATAAATATTTATTATTTATAAATATATTATTTCCAAATATATGTTTATAATTAAACTTTTACATTCATGCTTGTATATTATAGATATAATTCAATGCATTTGCATTAAATTTTATCTTAATTTATAATATCAATAATAACAAGGCTAAAATTAAAGTACAAATATTTCAAGTAGAAAAAACAAATAGTTAAGAAAAGTTAAAATAAAATGTCAAGTAATAAAAAAAAAAGTAATGCAATGTTTATAAATGCAAACCTAAAATCAGTTTCTCTTAAGTTAGGAAAAAAAGCTGCATCCAAGTAAACGCTCAATAAGTTATGATAATCTTTCTCATTTTGTGTTGAAAATGGATACATTGTCCAATCGCTTGCTGGAAATTAAAAAGATTAAAAAAAATATTACAGAATTTTTGGATATAAAACTTCAATATAAATATATCTATTACTATATGTATATATGTAAATATATATATATATATATATATATATATATATATATATATATATATATATATATATATATATATATATATATATCACTATATACATATATATATATCACTATATATATATATATATATATATCTATATATATATATCACTATATATATATATCACTATATATATATATATATATATATATATATATATATATTATATATATATATATATATATATATATATATATATATATATATATATATATATAAAATAACAGATACACATATATATAATAACAGATACACTGAGCGATTTCAGTGTTTTTTGATGGCATTAGGCAATGCCAACCTAATTGCTGACATTGAAGTGTTTTAGGTTGGCAAAAGCGCTTCCATTATTATATATATAAACAAATAGTATTGCGTACTATGGTAAGCAATCTGACATCATACTGAAATAGCCTGCTGCTGGGGGCTTCAGTACATACATCGACTGACAAATAGCCTGACTCGTAGTGGAGTGCTGCTACATCGACTGAGGGTTTGGGATGGGGAAGCAATCGTTTCATTTATCATTCTTTGTTTTTTCTTCTTCTTTTTTGAAAAAAAACAGTATAGCTTAAGGTAAGCAGAAAAAGTGAGCAAATGCTTATCAAAACACGCTTTAGTAAGTGTGTGTGTGTATATATATATATATATATATATATATATATATATATATATATATATATATATATATATATATCCCTTGGAATTAGGAAAAATGAGGTCTGCATAAAACATAGAAACGAGGTCGGCAATTTTTTGCCAGGTAAGGTAAGCAGAAAAAGTGAGCAAATGCTTATCAAAACACGCTTTAGTAAGTGTGTGTGTGTATATATATATATATATATATATATATATATATATATATATATATATATATATATATATATATATATATATATATATATATATATATATATATAACCCTTGGAATTAGGAAAAATGAGGTCTGCATAAAACATAGAAACGAGGTCGGCAATTTTTTGCCAATCTAACTGCTGACCTAAAACACTTTTAGATCAGCACTGCTTAATACTAACCCTGATTCCGAGGGTGTATATATATATATATATATATATATATATATATAATATATATATATATATATATATATATATATATATATATAATATATATATATATATATATATATATATATATATATATATATATATATATATATATATATATATATATATATATATATATACATATATATATATATATATATATATATATATATATATATATATATATATATATATATATATATATATATATATATATATATATATATATATATATATATATAAATAAAGGGTGGCCCTTAAAACAACGTTTTTGAGAAAAACCTGCTTTCACCCCCTAAATGTGTTCTAATACAAAAACACTAGGTTTAAAATTTTTTTGAACAAAAAATATTTTAAGGGGTCCCTCAAGGCCCTTGAATATTTAATAGGTCCCTAATATTTAAAAAAAAAGTTTTTCAAAAATATGTCAACCTGGTACTCAAATGAAGCGAAATTATATAAAAATTTCAAAAATTATATTCATTTTGAAAATTTTTTAACTATTTTATTAAAATTATCATAAAAAAACATAAAAAATGCATTTTTCATATTTTTGTTAAAAAACACAATTTTTTAAGTAATAAAACCAAGAAACATTTTTTTTCAACCAAAAATAACTTTTTTTTTTAAATTAAAGTTTTTATTTAATTTTAAGTGAATTATAGTGAAAAAAGAATAGAATAAAAATACATAATAAATTTGAGAAGAAAAATGTTTTAGGTTAAACCTAAAAGAATTTCTATTGACTATGCTATAATATGACTATGCTATACAAAAATTTATTCTTATGTCTTTTTATGACGGTGAATTAAGAAATATATTTTTTCAAATAAAGTTAAGATAACTAAACTTTTTAAGATAACTGAATAACTATAAAAAGCAAAAATTTAAAAATATTTTATTATTATTTTTAGCATTTTTATAATTATATATTTTATTAATATTTTTAGCATTTAGTTGGACTTTTTCTATAATTAAACCAAGCATTTTACATAAAAGTGTTTTAGCATTGATTCTAAAGGATAATTGTTTTGATAATTTATTTGATTATTGACAATGTTAGACCATGATTTAGTAACAGCTTTCTTCTAATCTTATTTTTTCATAAATAATTTAAGACCTATTTTTTATCTAATAAGTTTGCAAATGTTCTTAATGAATCAGTGTGTGGACCATTCATACTATTTTTATCAAAACTTTAACTTTAGTTAGTTCAGTAATTTTCTTTTCTAGTTTGTTTTAAATTGTTCAAGATAATGTCTTTTTGAAATATAAAATTGTTACCTAATTTACTTTTTCAACTTTTTCAGAGAAATAGTTTTTCCTATAAAGTTTTGCAAACTATTTGAAATACTTTTTGCACTTAAATAAAAAAAAAAAATATTTTCATTCTTAAATTCATTCATTATTGTTTTTCAGGAGATCCTTATTCATTACAAATTTAAAAAGTTTTATATTGTTTGTATTTCTTTACAATATTTTTAAAATATTTTTTTCTTTACAATGTTTCATATTGTTTGTGTTGCTTTCCAATGTTTTTTTAAAATGTTTTATTTATTAAAACTTTTCATATTGTTTCATTTTTTTTTCTTGAAAATATTTCATATTTCTTTACAATGCCTCCTATTGCTGTAAAATAGAATTTGCAAGTTTTTGGGCTTTTCAACAAGTAATTCTGTTAACCAAGTAACAAATTATCATTGAGTAACATTTAAATATTTACCTTAGTATGCCATACTATTTGACAAAGTTTTAAATGCTTTTTTTTTACAAAAATAATATAACAAACATTAATGTAATAATAAAATAATTAACAAAATCACAACATATAAAAGTCAACTGCAAAACAAAACAAACAAACAATAAAATAGCAAAAAAAAAAAAAACATAGTTTACAGACTAAGACTAGCATAAAAAAAGATATAAATAGAATAATTTACAGTCAGTCTGCACCATCTTTTTCAAATTTTGAATCTTTTGTGCACTGGTAAGGAAACCCCTTTTTGAGCATTGTTAGACAAAGAGAGCACAGCTTTTTTTGTGCCTGGAAAGAGCTTTGTGGACTACTGCTTTGTGCACATGTAGCAACAGAGTCTGTTAGTGCTTTGATTTGCCAACTTGACAAATAAAACGTGAACAGTCAGAGGAAATTCTTGTTATCTTGATGCCTTAAAAGTTGCAGTCTGAGAGCTCACCGTATATTTCACCACTGTCTAGTTTTAACAAGTTTGTTATGCAAGAATAGCAAATTCCGGATGGAACCTTGGGATCAGTGAATTCAATCTCTTGTTTGAGCAGGGCCTTGATTCTCTCCTTCATGAAAATTGTAACTTGTCTGTCACATTTTCTCATGCAAAGAAAACAGGCAGTTTTTCAAAAACTAAAAAAGTTCTTAAAAAAACAAAAATAATAATCTAACTTAATAAAACTAACAAATACTTAAACATATTCTAGTCGTTTGATTTAGATTTAATATATATTTATTAATAACACTCTATATTACTACTAGTATTAACATTGTAAAAATGTACTAATATTGTAATAAGCCTTATCTTTAAGGTTTTATTGTAGTATATATAACTATTATTACTACTAGTATTAGCATTATAATAATGCTATTAAAAGTGGTATTAGTATTTTAAGTATTACTATTTAAATTAATAATAATTTTTATTGTGTTTTCATGTAAACAGCATTTAAATTTAAATATTACTCTTACTACATAAATTATCATTGTTATAACTGTTGTTGTTGTTGTTGTTGTTGTTGTTGTTGTTGTTGTTGTTGTTGTTGTTATTATTATGATGATGGTTTTGATCATCATAGATTATAAATAACTTATAAAAAAATACAAGCAATAATAGTTATTAAATCAATGAATTTATATTTATAATATAAATAAGAATTCATTAGTTTATTGTTATAACAATAACTTTTAGTAATTAAAGTTTAAGATCAGGATAAAAAATTCTTAATTCTTATCAAGGAGTCTGACAGGTCAGATGATTTGGTAACAAAAAAAGTACATTAATAACTAAATTTAGCATTTTTATTATAGCGTTTATAAATGAAATGTTTGGTTTGCAAAACTGAGTTTGTGACTACACAAAAACTGTTCTCACATTTCAGATATACTTATTGTTTGGCTTCAAATGAAAGAGAAGATTTTCTTTTCCTTTTTGACAATAAAAAGGCAATTTATTAAGTTTTATAATGAGTCATTAGAAGATCTAACTAATTTCAAAATTGTTGAAAACAAATTAAACAATACAAAAATCTATTCTTGGTAATGTGGATTTAAATTTATTTTTTTAAACTATTTAACAAGTGCTTATTAGAATGTTGTTTTCCAGCCTGCTAGAAAGTAGCATCTGTTATTTTTCAAAAATTCTGGAGAGTGATTTGACTTGTCTAATTACCATCCCATTAATCGTTTTACTATCATAAGCAAGGTTTTAAAGTTTTTAATCAAAAAACAATTAATCTCTTATCTTGAATCTAATAACTTATTTTCTGATCATCAATATGGATTTTGATCTTCTCGTTCTACTTCTGATTTGTAAGAAGTAATAACCGATAGGTATTATTGGATTGGATAGATATGGAGAGGTTAAGGCTCCATATCTATCTAATGCAATAATAATTGCATTAGATAGATATGATATTTCTAAAGTTTTTGATTAAGTTTGACATGCTGATCTTCTTCATAAGCTCTCATTTTACAGTATATCAGGTAACATCTTTAAGATTATTGAATGTACCAATTGTAGTGTTAAAGTTGTCTTCAATGGACAGCACTCTTCTTCATTTCCTGTA